ACGGACAACCGAGCAACCCCCGTCCTCTCTCTCTCTCTCTCTCTCTCTCTCTCTCTCTCTCTCTCTCTTCTCTCTGCTCTGTTCTCCTATCCTCTCCTCTCGTCGCTGCTCCGCAATGCTCTGCTCCGCTCCGCACCGCCTGCCTCGCCTAGTCTCGTCTCGAGCGAGTCAAAACACCCTCGGGCCACAGAACCCGCCAACCCCTTCTCTTCTCTCGTCTCTCTCTCGCGTCCCTCTCGCCACCCTCTCACCCCCCGCGGCGCCCTCGACCGACGCTCGTGTCCTCTCTTTCATCGTTTCCACGTGTGAGTCGCGTGCATGGACGGGTTGGAGCGTGGATTATATCGGCACATGCGCTCTCCGCGTCGCCGGAAAAGCGGATATTGCCGGCGGCCGTGTCAAAACTATTCCGCTCGAGCCGACAGTTTAGTACGGCGTGGTTCGAGCTCGCGGATGCTCGTGGACAGTCGCGGACGCTCGCTTCTTCTTCTTCTCTCTCTTTCTCTCGCCTGCTCCATCACCACCATCGGACTTTTCTTCGTCGTCCACCCCGTCTCCTTTTCCATTGCCTCGTTCTTCTGCTCCGTATTCCACTTGTTCTTCGTTGTTGTTGTTCCTCGCCGTGGTTCCCGCAAAGTCTGTACGGGCTGCAGCATCCCTCGACGCGTTTCCGCGGCGAGGATACCTGCTGCGACCGCATCTGCATACACCTTCTACGAGGGAACGCGGCGTTGATTGCGTCGCAAACTTCTCCGCGAACAAGGTAAACACGGTTCTATCCTCGTGGAAACTCGCTGCGAAAGAGGGCACCACCTCACTGGGGGGGGGGGGCTGCCGGAGCCGCGAAACTTCATCCGGTACTCTTCGATTTAGAAACAGTTTTTTCCGCGATAGCCCAGGGACATCCTTCTCCGGGGAACCGCGGATCTCGACTTTCGGAGAACTTTGTTCGAAGCTCGAGACCCTGGTCCGTTCGAATGCAACCGTCGCGAAACGTGCATAGAACAAACAAAATGTGAAAAGAACTTGGACCGAACCTGGACTTTGGATTTCGAGAATAATCCAGCATAGTTCCATTTTTTTAGATGTTGTTTCTAGCCTAGATCCAGCCTCCCAGAGAACCCTAACCGAAGCTTAGCCTAGATTCAGCCTTCCGATAGATCCTAACGCAGCTGCTGCCTTTCGAGGAAGACGCTCGTCTCGAGGGTCTAACCCTTCGGAGAATTGCCAGTTTTCAGAACGTCGATTACTCGGAAGACGAGGCCTCCGGCCTTCGGAACGTGACGCGACCGGAAGAATCGTCGTCGCGGGATCGAAATTAGCGCGCAGAGAAATTTCGAAGCGAAGCTCGTCGTTGACGGATCGGCCGGCGAGCCGATCGATATTCGGTACTGTCGTTAGCATGGAAATAATGGCCGCTGTTCGATAAAACGGCTCGCAATCGCGTCGCGTCGCGATACGGTTATTTTCCGCGTCTAAATCCATCGAGCCGCGATCGCGTTTCGGCGTTCAGCCGTTCCGGTGCGCGCGGCTACGTTTTACGCGGCGAGAGCCGGGCTCGTTTCGGCCGCGAGCTTTCGCGCGAGATTTTCTTCGGCCGCGATAAGCCGATCCGCTCGACTCGTTTATTAGCATACGATAATTGGCGGGCTGTCCGTTCCTCTCGAACCCGTGCTTTTCCAAGCGATCCCCGGGCTTTCCATTTCCATTTGCCCGCGCATCGGCAGCCGGCCGCGAAAATCGCCGCGCAACCAGACCCGTTTTCCCTCTCGCGTCAAGATTTCCGTTTCGCGGTTTTTCATATTTTCCATCGGCTGCAGCCGGCTCCGACCGGCCGGTTTTCATTCTACCCCCTTTGCTTTTCCCCTCGCTTTCGCGCACGTGCGCGCTCTCTCTTTTTATCTCCATCTGGCTCTTCGTGCTTTTCTCTGCGCAACTGTAAAGAGTAATCCGAGCTCTCGCTGTAGCGACAATTAAACGGGCTGCTGCCCGGGAGATACCAGACCGGAAGAAACTATATTTTCGCTCGCATCGACTCCAAATTCGATCCAAAGCACCGACGCGGATCTCCGTTTCGCCTGCTCTTCGTTCATCGGAGCAGGCCGAGGTTTTTTCGCAAATGGGTCGCGTAAAAAAAAGTCTGCGGAATTTGTAAATAATTAAAATTGATCGTTCCAACTCCATGGATGGATCCGAAGGCCTCGATCCACTCGGAACGTCTTCCCCGAATTACCTTTTCCCGGTAATCTGAATTTACGTGGATACTTTGAAACGAGAGACTTCGATACGAAACGTAATTCCAGACATCAACGGCCGATTCTCCGGCTTTGAAACATCGGCAACGGACGATACGAGTCGGGCTCGACATTGAGGGACCAAGATCCGCGCGTTGAAACGCGATTACGCGATTTCGAAAGAACTCCGGACAACGGAACGGCTGAATGACGTTCGCTATTCAAAGGGGTTCCGGTGTCCCCGTGTAACCGAGCAGCCTGGAACTCGCGAAAACGAATCGCGAATAAACGGACAGAGCATTCGGAGGGAGAAAAGAGAGAGAGAGAGAGAGAGACGGTCCACTCGAATCGCGCGCCACCAGTAAAGAGAGTCGCGCTCTTTGAGACCCGTTGCACACCTACTCGAAAGCCTCGAAGGCCTCGAAGGCCTCGAAGGCTTTGCACGCGCTGGCTCTATGAAACTCTTGCTCGACGCTCGGTTTCCCGCGCTTTTCCTCCTCTCGCCCCTATTCCGCGGCTTTTCTTCCCGACGAGCACTTTCCCTTTCGCCTAACCACGGTTACCGTCGTTCCTTTTTTCCCGCGGCAGTCGGATTCTGCGGAAAAACCGAATTTGGGGCGACGCGTCTCGCAGCAAAAGCTTCTAAAATCGCTCGCCGTCGCGCTGTGCTCGCACCTACCTCGCAANGACGGTCCACTCGAATCGCGCGCCACCAGTAAAGAGAGTCGCGCTCTTTGAGACCCGTTGCACACCTACTCGAAAGCCTCGAAGGCCTCGAAGGCCTCGAAGGCTTTGCACGCGCTGGCTCTATGAAACTCTTGCTCGACGCTCGGTTTCCCGCGCTTTTCCTCCTCTCGCCCCTATTCCGCGGCTTTTCTTCCCGACGAGCACTTTCCCTTTCGCCTAACCACGGTTACCGTCGTTCCTTTTTTCCCGCGGCAGTCGGATTCTGCGGAAAAACCGAATTTGGGGCGACGCGTCTCGCAGCAAAAGCTTCTAAAATCGCTCGCCGTCGCGCTGTGCTCGCACCTACCTCGCAATGGCGGCGCTAATGTCGGAATTTCGGACGTCTCGTCTCGCGACTTTCGACCGATTTTCAGAACGCGTAAACAATTCTATCCTCGCGAAACAAAAAGATTCCTCTTCTACTCGAGTGAACGATTCGTTTGGTTTAACCAAAAACGCTTTGTGAAATTGTACTCTTCTGTTAACGTTGAAAGTTCATGCACGACAAATATAAATTTTCTTTCTCGCAGAGGAATTTATTAGCGACGATCGAATATCGATCGACGCGACTAAGAGATCGCAGTGCAAAGGTTAAATAGGTTAGGTTAAGTCTGGGCAGGTTTATTCTCGAGCCTCGCGAAGGATCCTTAATTTGTTGTGTCGCGCGTTTCCGTCGAAGTCTGGGCACAGAAACGAAACAGGGAATCCGGTCGATTTCTAATTTGACTCGTATCTGTCTGGGCGAGCCGCTTAAATATTTAAAGGGCATCGGCGCACGATTGAAACGGAAATTGTCGGGCCTGTGCGGCGGCGGAGGCGTACGAGCCGAGACGGTCGAGGCGGCCGAGGTCGCGGCGCGACGCGCCGATCGATTATCGCGTGCGAACCGACCTTACATCGGGACGGAAGGTTTCTCGGAAACCGTGTCTCTGGTTCACCAGGTCGTATTTATTGTTCCCGGCGGAATTGGATTGCGGTAAATTGCTGTTCTCCCGGCACGAGCGCGAGCGCGACCGCCTTCCTCCACGGTTCCGCACGGTTTCTCTTTAACCCCTTTGCCAGCACCAGCCGGAGAGCCGACTTGGTTTCCTTCGACGGGGATATCGTCTCTTTCCATGACCCCGAGAGATTTTTAATCCTCGGCGAACGAGAGAGGGAAGTCCGATTAGCGCGAGAGAAAGAGTTATCCTTCTCGTTCTCACATTCTTCGGGACAAGAAATCGTCGAGACAGCTACGAAGACGGTAAATTACGTAAATCGGTGCGCGACTCGAAAGTTACGCCGAACCACGGACGGTTAAAAAACACTCGAGATCGATGCAGCGGTCGTAAATTGAACGCGACGAATTTTCGTTTCAGCTGTACGCGCGTCGCCCCGGCTTTAATTCGGCTGGTTGCCTCGCGGAGACAATTCGCGGGCTGAATCTGAGCTGAGAGAACGAAAAAGAGGGAGACGGAGCTATTGGATTTATTAGTTCGGTTCCAGGATCGTCGTCGAAGATCGCGTAGCGAGCGAGGTCGAGCAATTTCCCGTCGAAAACAGTCAGTCATTATTTTCGCGGACGTTTAATCAACCCGTGCTCTGCTCGCCACCTCTCTCTCTTTCTCTCTCTCTCTCTCTCTCTCTCTCTCTCTCTCTCTCTTTCTCTCCTCTCTCTCCGAAACCCGCTCGTAATTCAACGCGGAGGCTATTTACTTTTGCTCTTCCCTTTGTTCGTCGCTCGTCCGCCTTTCATCCGCGGCACTCGTTCCGATTTCCCGATATCCGAGCCAATAATATACATCGCGGAGAAGCAGAGAGTGAGAAAGATAAATCTCCGCGATCGTTTCTCTGGTAAAGACAGAATCGCCAAAGAGTTTCCGCATTTACGGCGAAGGATTCGGCGGACTTCAGCCAGTCCGTTGTCGTTCGATTTGCATCGGCGCGGCCGACTGTGCCCAACGCCGACCAACTTTAGCTTCTACGAAGACTTTAGAGTCTACGAAGATTAGCCTATGTCGGTTTCTACTCGAGGAACTAATCCGTCCGCGCATGTTTCAGCCCGAGTCACCTTCCACGTGTCCCATGAAGTCGACGGACGCGACCAGACGCGGGGAGCGATCGTCGACAGTGATCACCGACTCGAGGTCGTCCGAGCACAGTATCGACCGGTGGTCCAGGTGAATCGAGACCGGTACAGAGAGGAATCGCGATCCCGGGTCAAGCAGCAGCCGCCGCAGCATGTACAAGATCCTGAGGCGCGGCTCGAGCCGCGTGCTCGCCGTCTGCGCCGTCCTCCTCACGCTCCTGCTCTGCCTCTACTACGTCAGCCAGGCCCAGACCCCGTCCACGGGCCCCTCGGCCGCCATCGTCAACGAGGAAGTCCGATACGATCGCGGGCCCACCTCGGTCGCGCCGGACTACGTCGAGTCCCCCGACTCCAAGGTCTCCCTCGACACCTGCCCCATCGTCGTGCCCAGGAACGTCGACATCGACACGCAGCAGGAGTTCGAGACCTTCGACTTTCAGGTGAGTCCGTCGTCGTCGGATCGGGCTAATTGTAATCGCGTATTCGACAGGAGCCCTCGTCGAGGGTTTCTTCGAGAGAAAACCGATCGGAATATCTGTGTCGACGCGACGCTTCGAGCATCGGACCGGCGCGGAAATAGCTCAAAGACATCGGTCGGTCCCGGTGGTTCCGGCGTCGCGTCATTAGCCGGCAAACTTTCCTTTCTTCGATCCCTCGGGAGTCTGCGGACTTTGTCGATTTAATGGACGCGCCGCCTCTCGCCTCGCCCCTCGGCCGCCGCGGCTCCGTTTAATAAGGGATTTTTCTCGCGGCGGCGGCGTCCGCTCGAAAATAATTTACCGGTTTGTCCTCGAGTCTCGAAACTTGCCAACTACCCCGGGATCGGAGACTCGCGGTCGCCGGGAATGGACTTTGCTGTTCCCGATCGAGGAAATTCGACCGGCCACTCCGCGGAATCAAATTTTCAAGCGTTCGCGTCGCCTCGCGGAACTTCGGAACAAGGGAATTCTTTGTATTCGGGAGAATAATCGGGAATCGCGGGAGATTGGCGTAACCGTGAGAAAGGTCTGTCGATAGTTCGTTCGACGGGGAACGTAACCTTCGCTAGGATCGAGTTCAACGTTCCACGATTCGAGCGGAAGCAAGGCGAAACGCCCCGAGCCGATCCGAAGCGTCAACGGACTCGAAACGAGTCCCGCCGACCATAATCCCCGAGAATTAGGCACCCGAGTGTTTGCCCCACAGCCTGCTAAATCATTTTCGAGGCCGCGTCTACGGGGAAAACGCGGAGACAGCGGTTCGCCCCTGCGTCTCGATTAAACGGCAGACCCGCGGAGCCTGTAATTCGTTTTAATTGCAATTGCTGGCGGCCTCGCGCCGCTTCGCTCGGCTCTCTCTCGCGCGCGCGCGCGATCGATCGAGGAAACGCGCTCGCAAACTTTTGTCCGGTCTTCTTCTCGGTTTGCCGAGCCGTTGAATATTCTTGCGCCGACGAGGCTCTGGCGCGTGTCGCTCGAGGAATCGTACGAACCAGAGGGAACAAGGTGCGAGCGGGAACGCGAACGAGAATACGACGACGAGGACCGTGTATCGATTTTCCGCGGGGAATCGAGGGTGCTCGAGCCGCGGAAAAGTGGCCGGGGGGCAGCAGGACGGTGTCCGGAAGCCGCGAGTAGTCGAACGTTGTCCCTCGACGGGAGCGGAAGCAGAATCCGAAGCGAGAGACAGGGAGCGCCGATAATCGTCGAGGTCTCGCGATTTCAAATTGCTCGCGCTCCGAAAATCGCCGAGGATCCTTTGGAAACGCGGGATCGATGTCGTCGAGGTCCATCGTCGAGGAAAAAGTTGGCAGACGGTGGTCGAGGAGGCTTCGAGTCGGACGGCTCGAAATACCGAATTCCTGCAGAGGTCTCTCTCCTCTCCTCTCTCGCTTCGACGGAGAGACCACGTTCCGCAATTTGCTTAAGCAAACCTTTCTGGAAATTCATATCCGTCGTCGGCTCGTCCGGTCTTCGTCCTCTTCTTCTTCGTCTTCTTCTTCTGCTTCTTCTGCCTCTTCTTCTCGGGTACCCTCGAAACCGTTTCCGTGTTCCTCCGTCCCTCCTCTTCCTCTAGATAGCTCCGGACAGCTAAATCCTCTCCTTCAGACCCCCTTGGCGGCGGGCCAATTACTTTTGGATTTTCCCGGCTGCCAAATCTGCCGTTTTTTAATCCCCACCCCCTGTTCCACGTCGAAGGACTCGGTTCCGCGACGATCCACGGGGCCGTTCAAAATTCCTCGATCCCCGTCTCTTCGTGGCTCCACGAAAGAATCGCGAACGGAAGCTTTTACGTTCTCGAAGCCGAAGTTTCAGACCTCGCGCGCGATCGAAAGCTTCGTCGTCTCCTGGCGAACTCTTTTTTCTTGCCAAATTTTGAGCCCTCTTTTCTCTGTATCGTTCGATAGATCGTCGAGGTCTTTCCTGCGACGTTTTACCTCTCGAACCGCGAGGTGCGAGGTGCGAGGTGCGAACTCTAATCAACCGGCAGCGAGGCGCGGCTCGACGCGGCGATCGATTCTCGTCCGAGAATCCGCAGGTACAGGCGGTTCCAGAAGCTCGACTCTTTCTGTTCCCGGTACAGATTCGATTCCCGGTAAATAAAGATTCGGGCGATGTCGGCAAAGCGGCCGGGATATACGATCGCGGACTCGATTTTCTCGCGACTCCGACTCTGTATCGAATTTCTAATCCGATCCGAGCTCTCTCGTCGGGCACGCGTTTTCATCCTCTCTCTCTCGTTCTCTCTTTTTTCTTAAACCGTTTCCAGCGACGGAGAGAAACCGGCTCCGTGCGCCGATGAAATTGAACCCGTGCCACCTGAAATATTAATAACGCCGCGACGCGTATCGAGTCTCGCGGAATTAAACATTGATCGCGGAAGACCGGCCGTCGATCGGGAACAAACTCGAAACGAGAGAAACGCGCGGGTATTTCGCTCGTACTCTCTGCGCCGGTAAATCTTGGGAGAGAAGATTGCCCCCGGAAAGTGCACGGCCACGAATCCCGGCCGTTGATCGCTCGGAACGGTAGTTAGCGGAGAACCTACCAACCGTGCTGTTATTTCCGACCGATTATAATTGCTTCGAGGTGTCGAAGACGTTGCGAAAGGGAGGCCGAAACGGTGTCCAGGATGCGTTGCGGCCTCCGTTTCTCGGCATCGGTTTTCCGCCGTGTCGGCGCCTAACGACGCGGAACTCTCTAATTGAACTCCGCGGGTGCATTCCTGCGGACTGCGGACCACGGACTGCGGATTGCGGGCCGCGAGGGCTCCCGGGTTCGGGCGGTTCGCGAAACGCGCGGATCACCGGGACGCGTGCCTCTGGTCGGCTCGCCGACCGACGCTGATCGAGCCGACGAGAAATCCGCAGGCTTTCGAATGCTCGAGAACTTCGCGAGTCCGGTTAATCGCGTCTGGACGCAACGTCGACGCTTCGTTCAGTCCTGGACGCGTTCTTTCCCACCTCCTATACTTTATAGATTCGCGGCGAAATTATGGCAGAGGTCAAATTATCGGAGCAGAGATGGTCTTCCGAAGGAACTTGCCGCGTCTCCCCCGGGTGAAGAGAGAACGAATCGACGCACGAAGCGCGACGATCGCTAGAAAAGCGGAGCCCCGAGGAAGAGGAAGAGCCGTGGAAAAATTGAGTACGCTTTCCCGAGGCAGCGAACAGTTTATTTAAACATTGCTCGATCGCAGGACAGAGTTTCGAGCGCGGGGAGAGCTTCGCTTCGAAGAAGGGCCGACGAACAAGGGGAACGGGAATAAAAATAGTTGAGCCAGCCAAAGGAGAGAGTAATCCCGGAAATGCCTTTGCAAATCAGAGCAGGAGCGCGCCTCTTATTTCTGCCGACTCGAACAACCATCCGCTTTCCTCTTCCCGCTCTCCCTCGTCCTCTCGTTCTCTCGCTCTCTCAGCCGCCGAGGTGTCCCGACTCTTCGAGGAGGCGAGGCGAGGCGCGACGAACGAGAATAAAAAGAACGGCCAAAGAAGGTCCTTTGAGAAAGCTTTCTGTACACCGGAAACTACTGGCGCCCTTTATGCGAACGGATATAAAATAGATAAGGGCTCTCCTCTGCAAGCTGGTCTCTGTCCCCGAGGGCGGCCGAGACGCGGACGAGCTTTGCTCGCTCGATCATTAACTCTTCGGCTGAAGGAGCACCGCCTCCTGCTAGTCAGCTTTGCTCCCTGTTCGTCCTGTCTTCGAATTCTCGGACGCCTACTCTCTTTCCAGGCCTGAAACGGTGTCTCAACAGGTGGCCTCGAGGGCACTCTCGGGCTCGACGACAGCGGTCGGTCCGCGTCCTCTTTTCTTCGACGCCGAAAGCCTGCCAGGTGTCGTCTATCGTCTTACGAGAGTCCAACGATCGGCTTCGGCTGGCGAAATCCGGCGTTTACAATCGAAACGGAGAATACCCGTCGCTCCGAAATCTCGCTGCTCCATCGTCCGATCATCCATCGTCTCCCGATCGGTTCCGATCGACGAGGTTCCGCCATGGCTCGTTTCAACGACCGATAAGTTTTGAAAATGTTGTCGATTCTAGCAAAGAGTTCGAGCGCAAGGGAAACGCTTTCTCGGAGAATCTTGCTGGAACCTGCAGCATCGGTTTATCCTCTATGCCATGACAGAACTCGAACGATCGATAGCTTGGAAAATATTGTGAATTCTAGCTCGAGATTTCGCAGAGACGTTCTCAAAGAGCTAAACTACAACGGAAACTCTCACAGGCCTAGAGCATTAGTCTCTCGGAACCTAGGAGAGCCAATATTCGTCTCCGACCCGAAACGCTTCTCCGAGCGAAGCCGAGCACGCCGGAGGCTATCGCGATGCATTTTCCTCGCCTGCGAGGCAGAGATCGAGACCGAGACCGCGAGAGACCGGCAAAGAGAGAGAGAGAGAGAGAGAGAGAGGCGAGGAGAGAAGATAAACGAATGCGAGGACGGCTTGGTGCGGGTATTAGCTCGGCCACGGCGCACCGCGTCGGGAATTAATACGCCAACTGTAGTCTTCCGAAAGTGCACGCGCTTCTTATTGTTGGTACAGTCGAAAGTTCTCGGGGAACAATGAGACGACCGGGAACAATGCTCCGGGCCAGGATCAAAGGAGCCTAGGCGCGCATTCGCCTCGTCGCGACGCGACGGCCTCGCGCGAACGGAGCCGCGAGCCGAATCGAGCTCGCTTCCTTTCTCGACGGTCGATGGGAGTTGGGCCCCGGTTTCTCCTGCAAACTTTTCGCTCTTCTCGCCTCTTCCCAGATATTCTCGCCCAACTTCCTACGTTCGTATAGCGCGCGATTCGTCGCACGCGAGAAATATAACCTTTGTACTCGGTTGGTGCGCCGACGACGAGTTCGATCGCGATCGCGTTCGCAGCAGCTGTTCCCGTCGCCTCGGTCCGACGCGAATCGTTTCTCTCAGACGTTCGACTAATTTTCGAGGTCGTCGAGGTCGTTCGCGCGT